CAAGAACGGTAAGGCTAGGGTTCTTCTTCAAGGATTTTCCTTCAAGTTCTTCAAGAAGATGGTTCTTTCAGATATGTAAGTTTCCATAGTGTTGGGTTTGTTCACCCACATGCCAATCATGTTAATTTCAGCGTTAAATTCGTTCTAGAAAGTTGAAAGTATGATGTTCTTGAATTATGTTCTCAAAAATGGCTTTCGTTCTTGAGATTAGATGAGATTGGTGAGTTCTTGGTGAAATCATGTCGATTTTAGAGTGGTATATGAGTATGTTCTTGTGTCCTTGTGCTGGGTATCTAAATCTAAAGAGAGATTGCGAAAAAGCATCGAATTTAGGTGAATTGGGTTAGAAAACGAAGAAGGAAAAAGTCGGGCGAATCTGGTAACCCCGTCCGTGTCGCGAACCTGCCTCCCCATTTCACAAATTTTTTCTTCGCGGAGCGGAGCGGTCATGGACCGTTGTGCCTCAAAAGTTATTTCGTGACCAAATATTAAAATGCATCTCCGTGTCGCGGACTTGCTTCCAGACATTGATTTCTTGATCGTTTCTCATGTTTAACTATCTTAAAACACTCCTAAACATCCTGAGATCTTTCCTATCACAAATCACAACCTTGAATTTATAAATCAAATTCAAGGTAGAGTTAAGAGTTAAGTTTTTGAGAATTCTTTCGCACACTCTAAGAAAGTCTCTTTGAGTCCTTTTGTGGAGTTTTTTTACAAGTTCTAGTAACTTGTTTGAAGACTCAAGTAAGTAATCATGAGAGTGAGGAGAATGTATTCATGAGTCTACTTTTTCATCATGAGATCTTTCATATCATGAACCATAACTCTTGAATTCATAATTCACATTCAAGAGAGAGTTAAGAGTAGAGTTCAAGAAAGTCTTTGAGTTCAATTGTGAATATTTTGAGATCCATCATCGATTTGAGTTAAGTTTTGAGTAAGTAAGTATGAGAATGAAAAGAGTTGTATACATGGGTTCCTTATTGATATTTTGACCCTTTAGTCAAGTCGTTCATGCCCATAACTTCCGCATGAACTCCATCAGTTGAGTACCTTTGAGATGAGTAGTATCATTGAAGTTCTTGAGTTCCAAGTATTGAGTTCTATCTATGGTTATTGAAAACCTTGTATTGAGTCGTTCA